CCCCCCCCCAGGTGCTGACGGGGGTGCCGGGCTCTCCGGGTCACATGACTCTCCTCCAGTTTCCCCCCCTGCTGTGCGCTGGAGACGGATTCTCTCACTCCAACTTTGACGGCTGTGTGGATTCTGCACTGAGCACGATAACAGCACTGAGGGGGGGGCTATCTGAGGGGGTTGGGCTCACTGACCAATCAGAGCCCTGAGGGGGGGGCTCACTGACCAATAAAGAGACCTTAAAGAGCTGCAGGACGTGTTATTTATGTGTGGGTCCCTGAAGGCAGCATCCCCCTGGTCCTTATGGCCCCTGAAGGCAATATCCCCCTCGTCCTGATGGCCCCTGAAGGCAGCATCCCCCTGGTCCTGATGGCCCCTGAAGGCAACCACCCCCTGGTTCTGATGGCCCCTGAAGGCAGCCTCCCCCTGGTTCTGATGGCCCCTGAAGGCAGCATCCCCATGGTCCTGATGGCCCCTGAAGGCAGCATCCCCATGGTCCTGATGGCCCCTGAAGGCAGCCTCCCCCTGGTCCTGATGGCCCCTGAAGGCAGCATCCCCCTGGTCCTGATGGCCCCTGAAGGCAGCCTCCCCCTGGTCCTGATGGCCCCTGAAGGCAGCCTCCCCCTGGTCCAATGGGATCCGTGTGATTTATCTTTAAAAGCATGAATGGATTTGAAGTTTATAAACCGAGTCGTTAAACTTTATTATAATGAAACTCTTTGAATGAGTTCAGTTTGAATCTGTGTGATGAATTAAATCTAATATTTTCATTAAACGTTTTACTGATATTTCTTGTTTTATTTATAAATTCAGTTCTCTCACTTGAACTTTACATTAAATAAATAATTCATATTCCTCTCTGATCTTTTTATAGACGCAGATAAGACAGAATTAGTGTGTGTGTGACCTATTTCTCCTCCTCTGTTCTCCAGTCGTTTGGAGTAGTGCCGCTGCAGCAGTGCATTGTGGGAGGAGAGATTATCATTTCTGCCAAGTCACTGGTAGATCTCTCTCTCTCTCTCTCTCTCTACACACACACACACACACACACACACACACACACACACACACACACACACACACAGAGATAATCTAGGTATAGGAACATATTTTAAATGCTGATTTATTCAGGTTTAACATTTTAATTTCTGCTAGATTTACACAAATATATTAAAGTACATTTATTTTATATATATATATATTCAATGGATTTTAATGCTATAAAAGTAATATTCTAATACAGTAAAAAGCTAAAGTATTAACACTAAAAAAAATATAAATATTATAATAAGGTGAAATTAAATACATTTATATTTGATCATACATTCTGATTAAAGCAATCTGCAGCTCCTCTGTTCACCCTCTGTCTGAAACCAGAGCTGCTGATTGGTTAGCTGGCCGCCTCTGTTGTGATTGGTCAACAGCTTAGAGATGTCCACCCCCTTAGCCTATAATAATAATAATAATACATTTATTTTGGGGGGCGCCTTTCATAACACCCAAGGACACCTTACAGGGTTACAGATTTACAATTTACATTTACAATTTTACCTTACAAATTAAAACAGTGGATTTAGTGAAGTATCAGCCGGGGTAAGACAAGACAAACAACAGGAAATTGACTACAAAAGGACACAAAGGGACACAGGGTACAGGTTATAGAGAAAATGCCAGTTTGAACAGGTGGGTTTTGAGTTGGGTTTTGAATGTCGTTATGGAATCGGACTGTCGGATGTGTCGTGGCAGGGAGTTCCAGAGTCTGGGAGCCGAGCAGCTGAAAGCTCGAGCACCCATGGTTTTGAGGCGGTAGCTTGGGACGGTGAGAAGTCCTACGGACGAAGAGCGGAGGGTGCGGGAGGGGGTGTACTGCTGAAGGAGGTCAGTGATGTAGATGGGGGCTAGGTTATGGACAGCTTTGTATATGAGTAGAATGTTTTTGTAGTCAATACGGTAGCGTACAGGAAGCCAGTGTAGCTGAGTGAGAATGGGGGTGATGTGGTCGGATGAGTTGGTGCGGGTGATGATCCGGGCAGCAGAGTTCTGGATTATTTGCAATCTATTGAGGAGCTTGATGGGAAGGCCAGTCAGAAGTGCATTGCAGTAATCAATCCGGGATGTGACGAATGAGTGGACCAGGATTTCAGTGCTGAGACAGAGATGAGCGGAGTCTGGAGATGTTTCGAAGATGAAAGAAGGCGGTGCGGGTGATGTTTTTTATGTGTGGTGCGAATGAGAGGGAGCCGTCCAGAATGACACCGAGGCTTTTCACTTGGGCAGCGAATGGTATGGGGAAGCCGTTGATGATGATGTTTGATGCTGGGGTGATATGTGAATTGGTGAGGGTGGATTTGGAGCCGATGAGCAGGGCCTCAGTTTTGCTACCGTTAAGCTTCAGGAGGTTCCTGCTCACCCAGCTCCTGATGTCCTCAAGGCAGGTGGTGAGGGAGGTTGGGGGGAGGGCAGTGGTGGGTTTAGAGGAAATGTAGACCTGTGTGTCATCGGCGTAGCAGTGAAAATTAACCTCATGGTGACGGAGGATTTTGCCCAGGGGGAGGAGATATATGATGAATAGGAGTGGACCCAGTACTGACCCCTGGGGGACACCCAGTGAAATAGCACTTTCTTGTGACTTGTGATTACCGAGTTGTACAAACTGTTGTCTGTCAGTGAGGTATGATGAGAACCAGGAGAGTGCAACACCAGTGATCCCAATGCCAGCCAGGCGGTCCAGGAGTAGTGGGTGAGAGATGGTATCGAATGCAGCGCTGACGTCAAGGAGGACGAGGATGGTGAGAAGTCCGGAGTTAGCTACACGGAGGAGGTCGTTGGTGATTTTAACCAGGGCTGTTTCAGTACTGTGTTTTTGGCGGAAACCAGATTGGAAGGGTTCATGGAGGTTGTTTGTGTCAAGATGGTACTGAAGCTGTGCGGCAACCACCCTCTCAAGGGTCTTGGAAATGAAGGGTAGGTTGGAGTTGGGCCTGTAGTGGTTTAGATCGGCTGGGTCAGTACCAGGTTTTTTGAGGATGGGAGTGATTGCAGCCAGTTTGAGGGAGGTGGGTACAATTCCAGAGGTGAGGGAGGAGTTAATTATGTCAGTGATCATGGGTGATATGGCCGGTAGGCAAGCCTTGACCAGGGTGGTGGGAAGAGGATCAAGCTGACAGGTGGTGGTTTTAGCTTTAAGGATGAGCTCTGAGATGGTGTATTCCGATGCTGGGGTGAAGATGGAGAGGGAGCTGATGAGTGATGGACCAGTGGTAGACATCCAGGGTGGATCACTTGAGGAGGTGCATACTGAGGCCAGCTCTAGGTGAATGGTGTTAATTATGGAGTGAAAAAATTGCAGAAATTCAGTACATTGGTCAATGGAGATATCTGGAGTGAGGGTTAGAGGAGGCTGAAGTAGGTGACTGACTGTGGAGAAAAGAACTCTGTTGTTACCAGTGCTGATGAGGTTGGAGTAATATGAGGACTTGGCATTGGAAAGCGCGTTCTTGTAGAGGTGAAGGTGATCAGAGTACATTTGCGTGTGAACTATCACGTACAATGTGTTGGAGCGCTAGCCAATAAAAGTGAGTGTTCCATAGTGATGTCACTGTGTTCAGGAAGTAAACAAAGGAGTCCAACAGACGGATGTTTATAAATAGTTTATTCACCTTTACAGTGTTTTTTTATTTTATATAAAACAGAAGGACAGAATAAAAGAAGAGGGGGGGGCAGTCTGACATGAAATGTTACGCTCACTTCCTGTTTGTGGACAAATTAATACCTGACGAGGAAAAACAAAGTAAAGACTGTTTCCTGCTCCGAAGGATTCGTGAAAAGATTCAGAAAAATAAATCTGAGTTTTGAATTCGGTTTATAATCAGCGTGATGTAGATCAAAAGCACAAAGGGGAGGAGTCTGTTCCCTAAACCCCGCCCCCTGTGATTGTCCAAGCATATCGCAGCAACACTAACCACAGCTAGCTTAGCTTCAGTCTGTTATCTGAGATTAAAGTCGTACATTTCCGATAAACACATTTCCGATGTGTCAGGACACCCAGTGGCTGGATTTAATCGTGCAAAGTCAACCCATGCTGTTCCATGTTTGTGTCCCCGGTTATTTTGCGACTAATCATTTAATATCAGATTTCTCTTTAAAATGTGCGACTTTTTTCCCTTGAATATTCCCGTCCTCCTTAGCTCTGTACATTTCATTTTTATCTACAAAGACGCTTATACTTGTGTGTTGAGATGCAGAGAAACCTCGGAGCAGAAAACGGTTGCAGGTCAACCGGTCACATGACGCCGTGCACTTTATTAAAAGCAAATAAAAAAACTGGACTTCCTGTTCGGAGAGTTGAACTTAAGCCGGAAGGAAAACTGAAACGTGGGTTTGAAATGTTTGTTTTCTTTACGATATAATAACAGTTTCTGTTGAACGCAGTTTGACCGCACCTTAAGGCAAAACGAAGAAACATCATGGACCATGTTTGACTGCAAACTAACCAACAAACAGAAGGAGAAGCCTCCTCTCTGAAGGAGGGGTCTGAGAGTGAAACTAAATGATGACGGTTCAAAGTTTAATTCAGAGAGTTTTGGGACAGAAAGCAGAGTTCAGGGTTCCTTTGTTTACCGAACGTCGTAGACTTCAATGGAAACTTTAACAGCTGATTTCTCGGTTTACACCAAACCTTCAACGTTTTCTCTCCGACTTTAGGAACCCTGAAGCTCGAGCAGTTTGTTAAAAACCGTCTCATAGTTTTGGAAACAGCCAAAGTCAATAATCGTGTTTCTGGTTCTTTAGTTGTGTCCAGGTCTCTCTGACAGTTTGGCGGTTTAATCTACGATTTAGCTGTAAAATGGTGAAAGTAAAAACACACGGAGCACCTGCCTGGCCTCAGACTCCTGAAACACTTCCGAACACATCGGGAACGCTCAGAGAGAGGAACCGAAAGTCTGACAGTAACACTTTAATACTTTAAACAGGACGCTGGTGGTGTTTAGCGTTAGCTTTCAGGCGGGATTGTGGGTGTTGTTTCAGACGTTCGAGTTGTTTTGATTTTTACACAAGTATTTCTACCTCTGCTAACGAGGGTTAGTTCATTGGTTTTGTTCAGTCTTCTGTAATCTAGGTTTGCTGGTTTAGTTGAAAAAGTTCACACCCAAATCCAAAACACCTCCGCCTGACATCGGGTTGAATTTCTCCAGAACTGGTTTCAAAAGGACCAGCGTTTTAGCTTCAACGCCGGATTTGGTTGGACTCTGGTTAACTTGTGTTTGTCAGGTTTTTAGCCCCTCAGGTCTGAACGAGGACAGGAAGTGAGGCCAGGCTCGAGAGCACCTAACAGGACTGGAGACAGGAAGTGTGTTGTTGTTGCTGTAAGAAACACACAGAGCGTCCGGGTGGAGACGGACACTCGAGGCCGGTCCAGAGCACCAGAGATGGACTAAAGGCTCTATCAGCCCCGGATAGCTTAGCTTAGCACCTAAAACCCAACGAGATGAACTGTAGAGCCGACGATGGCCCATCAGACGCTCCGGTTCGATGGTAGACCTCGAGACGGGATCACACAGGACGATATAGATCTAACAAATATTTAATCTCTAATCTAAACTGGATTTACTTTATGTGTTTTCTTAATGATGTTACTTCAGCGGGGGGAACCTACCTCAAGAGTAAGACGTACCACACCTGGGGCGTCATGACCTTTATCCTCCTTGGTCTCTCCGTTTCCTACCGTTGTGTCTTTGAGTTCAAGCTCTTTTCTGATGGCTTTTAAAGGGAAACGTCACCTAAAAGGATAATTTGTTGTGAATACAGATTCAAAGAATGGAATCTGAGAAGTCTTGCTGAGTTAAAATCAGGTTGTGGGAGCACCGTTCATCTGAAGTGTTATTAGTGGATAAATGAGGATTAATACTGGACCAGCTTGTTAACGGATGTTTATGGTTTTGCTGTGGTTAAACACGGCCACCAGTAACTTCAATTAACGAAGACTTTCCTACGATTTTGGATCTAGGTTCACCGTGGAGGCATGACAGGAAATCAAAGTGTGCCTCAAGAATTCAATGTAACACATTGAGTTATTGATATAAAAGTTATCATTGTGTGTTTGAATGATCCTTTAGTGTTCGTTACCTTCTTTCTATGTGATTTCTAACGGTTCTTACGATGCCGTGCAGAGGACTTCCTGTTTTTATACGTCCTGTGTGATCAGGTCTTTCAGGAGCTTTCAGACCCAGAATCCTCACACTGATGATGAACAATCAGAAAGCACAGGACCAACGCAGAGCCAGTGATAGGTAGTAGCACCAAATGTAAGGACGGAAATCAGACATCAGGACTAAAACCTCGACCTACTCCCGGTCTGGAGGAAGATGTTCCTTCAGAGGATCATCAGGGATGCTCCGATCCAGTACCGTCTCAAATGAATCCTCTAGAAGTTAGTTTGCACCTTTAGGAGAAGGTTTATGTTGTGCATGAAGAGGCCCAACATGTGGTTCTAGCCCAGAGAACAGGAACCGGTTGGTGATTAGTTTGGGATTGAGTCTACGATCTGAACCGGAGCATGCCGAATGTTCTTCAGTAAAACCCAGACACATGTGAATGTGATCCTCAAAGTGTTCCCGGCGTTAAAAGGTACAGCTCGAGTTTGAGTGCTTAAATGTCGCCAAGAAGAAGTAGTAACGAGTTAAACGATTAATAGTCTATGAACAGAGTAATATTAGTGATAGAGCATCACCCAAACAGAGGCTGAACCTCGACACCATGGAGACCGGCTGGAGTCACGCTAACAACAGACTGCTGGCACTTTGGTAGAGCAGAGCTTCTCAACATTTAGTGGTTTCAGATCCCAAAAACACGTGTTCAGAGAGCGGAGATCTTTACCGGCGCCAAGCTGAGTGCGTGTGTGGTTTGACTGCAGGATAACGGAAAGACTAGCAGCCCAAACTTCAGGAAGATTGGTGGAAAGATCAAAGAAGAAGCCTTCAAATTGTGGAGAGGATTTCTCACTTGTGGAGGTTTGCTCTCTTCGATTGTCCTGAGAATCTACCAAGCGAAGACCTCTCTATCCACAAACCCTCGTTGTGTTCTGACCCAAACGTTGAGAAACTCTGATCGTAAACCCTTACAAACGGCAGCTTTATAACAAAGGACTTCCAGCTGAACAGAAAGCGGCACTACAGGAGCTCGAACGGCTTTCCTGGAGGGAGTTGGTCTGAAATGCGCCTCGATAGTCAGTCCTTTATAAAGAGCAGAACAACAACCAGCGCTCTGCAGTCGGTCATCTCTTCAGTTTGTGTCGAGGTGCGTTAGTCTACGTTTAGCTCAGAAGCAGATCCGGCTGAAGGAATGGTTATACTGTGTGTGTGTGTGTGTTAGCTTACGTTTGATATAAGTCAGAGTATAACAAAAATACATTTTAACTGCAGGATTGAAACTGTGCAAAACTGAAGACAGACGGACAGAGAGTAGCTTTGTTCACAGTAGGATTGTACTGTCTGTGTTTTAACAGGAGATTGTGAAGTTTCTTTCCTTAAAGCCGACTCTTCTCTCTGAGAGCGGCTCCGTCTCAAAGCCGGTCCAGATCGGACCAAAAACAGGACGCGAGGTTTTCCAACGTCAAGAACACCAGAAATCATCCTGGGTTTAAAACATCTAAATATTTTGAATAACAGAAGCGAAAAGTTCAGGTTTAATCTTTTTGTTGATGTGTGGGAATATACAATCAGGACGTTATGTCATAACAATGCCCATCTACATTTGGCCCACCTAAGTTCAGTTCTACCTGATCAAATTCAAACATTTTGATTTAATTTAATTGATCCCACGGCCAGTTTAACAAGAGGGGAAATCTGCTGATTAAAGCATAATAATGTCGTGGCAATTAGTCATGAGAACATCTCTGTTTTGATGATTGATGGCTAAAGTGATGTCTTTAAAGTCTGTTTCCAGCCTCTCTAATCTACAGATTTGATTTAAAACATAACCTTGGACTCTGAGGAACTGGATGGACGTTTACCAAAGCCATACACTAGGGAATAATCTGCAGATTCATGGATAATGATTGGTAGGAGCAGTCAATAAAAGAGTGACTGCAGATTTACAGCATAATAACTTCCTTATTGGCTTCGAGAGCTGATGTTCAATGAAAAGGTTTCTTCTGGAGATTTGGTCTTAAAAATGAGTCGCACGCACCCGGAGAGAAGAGTCAACGTTCAGAAACAGCTCAATGAAATGTAAAAGATGGGGAAACAAAAAGAAGATTGGTCTGCATAAAGTTCCCTACGAAGGAAGGACAGGGGTTTCCAACAAACATGTGGTCACTAAAGAAGTCTACTTGTCTTTATGTTTGTTTATATTCAAGTTTTACTCCTTTATTCTTTAAAACCTCCCGTCTGTCCATTCATCGGTCTTATTGTCCGTTCGCTGGCCCCGCCCACAAGCTTAGCCCCGCCTCCTCCGACCGCCATGTCATGTGATTGTCCAGCTGGGGGGGGGGGTCTTATAATCTGAGCTCTGAGAGTCCTGCAGATCAGACGCAGTCCGTCGGTTATAATCCCCGTTAGCTAACAACACGTCTTAGTTTGGGGTTCATGAGTGTAAACATACTGAATATATATATATACACATATATATCTGTATGTGTGTGTGAGTGTGTGAGTGTGTGTGCGTGTGTGCGTGTCAGACTTTAGTGATCTGATCGTGATGGTCGTCTTCGAAGGGCTCGTTCTCCGGGTCCGAGTCCGTGGTGTCGGAGTAGCGGTAGTGATCCGGCTCGTTGTCGCTGACGTCCGGCGTCACCGAGGCCGATGTGCTGCTGGCGTCAGAGTTCGCTCCCTCCTCCACCGTCTTCGTGAAGTACAGCTTCACCTGCGAGCACACGGTACGGTCAGATCAGGGCCGACATGATACTGCATCACAGACAAGATACTGTCGTGTCAAATGATCATATCATCATTTCAAGTCTTATACTCTGATTGCTCTGTTAAATGGTGATGTTAGTCTGGTGTGTGTTTAACAGAAGCTAAGGGTCACATGTCAGGAGGTGCAGGAGGTGGATTCACAGAGGGCTAAGGACTGGGTTAGGGTTAATGGTGTAACGATGGTTCCTCTCATGAACACACAGAGAGACTGAAAGCTTCTCTCTCCTCTGAGGAGGAAGCTGCTCTGATCCTGTGTGTGTGTGTGTGTGTGTGTGTGTGTGTGTGTGTGTGTGTGTGTGTGTGTGTGTGTGTGTGTGTGTGTGTGGTCCTGCTTTTCAGATCCATCTCACTTTATATTGACTTTCTTTATTACTTTATTAAATATAACAAAAGACACATTTTGTTCCTGAATCATGTATCAGTTTCTCTGAAGAGTTTCCTCCACAGATACAAGGAGACATTTAACCTGACGTCCCGATCACTGAAGACGACATGTTGGAGACCCTCTGACATCAGATCTGAGATGTAACTCTGTATTTAAAGTTAGGATCGACTGGAGCACAAGGAGAGCTTCAGCATCTCTGATTTAATGTTAATAATTCATGTTCTCTGTCCAGGACGTGTTGGGGTCAGAGAGGATGATAATGTGTTGTTATGGTCGGTAGAGTCTCTCACTGACCGACAGTCTAAGGCAGGGATGGGCAACTTGGATGGTGGTGGGGGCCACATAATATATGTACTGGCCACCAGGGGGCCGCAGATTCCCTTGGAACACACACACACACACATTCCATGTATTGTATGTAATTATTAACAAATATACTAAGTCTGACATTTTACAATCTTTCAGGGAACATCCTCTAATAAGCTCACTAAACAAATATCAGTTCACAGAAATGTTATTTAACACGAGTTACGAGTGGCATGTTTGCATTGAACAGTTTATTAAACAGTGGAATAAAACTATTTTAAACTATTGGAAAGCACGGAAAATGTGTATTGAGATGAACCATTAGATGACATAAACATGAAGTCAACACAGACACCTGTCAGCCCGCACTCTGCTGTTCCTCAGCGCCGCTCCCCCTCCCTCCACTCTGCTGTTCCTCAGCGCCGCTCCCCCTCCCTCCACTCTGCTGTTCCTCAGCGCCGCTCCCCCTCCCTCCACTCTGCTGTTCCACACGCCGCCCCCCCTCCCTCCACTCTGCTGTTCCTCAGCGCTGCCCCCCCTCCCTCCACTCTGCTGTTCCACACGCCGCCCCCCCTCCCTCCACTCTGCTGTTCCTCAGCGCCGCCCCCCCCTCCCTCCACTCTGCTGTTCCACACACCGCCCCCCCTCCCTCCACTCTGCTGTTCCTCAGCGCCGCCCCCCCCCCCTCCACTCTGCTGTTCCACACGCCGCCCCCCCCTCCCTCCACTCTGCTGTTCCTCAGCGCCGCCCCCTCTCCCTCCACTCTGCTGTTCCACACGCCGCCCCCCCTCCCTCCACTCTGCTGTTCCTCAGCGCCGCCCCCTCTCCCTCCACTCTGCTGTTTCACACGCCGCCCCCCCTCCCTCCACTCTGCTGTTCCACAGCGCCGCCCCCTCTCCCTCCATTCTGCTGTTCCACACGCCGCCCCCCTCCATCCACTCTGCTGTTCCACACGCCGCCCCCCTCCCTCCACTCTGCTGTTCCTCAGCGCCGCCCCCCTCGCTCCACTCTGCTGTTCCACACGCCGCCCCCCTCCATCCACTCTGCTGTTCCACACGCCGCCCCCCTCCATCCACTCTGCTGTTCCACACGCCGCCCCCCCTCCCTCCACTCTGCTGTTCCACACGCCGCCTCCCTCCCCTCCACTCTGCTGTTCCTCAGCGCCGCCCCCCCTCCCTCCACTCTGCTGTTCCACACGCCGCCCCCCTCCCTCCACTCTGCTGTTCCACACGCCGCCCCCCTCCCTCCACTCTGCTGTTCCACACGCCGCCCCCCTCCCTCCACTCTGCTGTTCTACACGCCGCCCCCCCTCCCTCCACTCTGCTGTTCCACACGCCGCCCCCCTCCCTCCACTCTGCTGTTCTACACGCCGCCCCCCCTCCCTCCACTGAAGTTATGAATGTAAGGCGTAGTAATCATAGATAACACGGCAGGGTCCGTTACAGTTTGTTTTCATCTGATTTCAAATAAACAAAGTCTTGGTTTTTAGAATATTAAACTTGTTTCGGCAAATTCAGAAGATAAAAACACTTTGAAGCTAAAGGCATAATTACAAGCGGCAACTTGACGTCGCAGCAGGCGTAACAACAGCCGGTGTTTGTGGGTGACTTTGTTACCCACTTTGAAAAAAAGGTTAATGATATTCGCTCTTCTTTTTCTGACTCACCTTTACTCACCGCTGGGTCACCAGACCCTCCTTCCACCAACACACTAACCTCCTTTTCCCCTCTCTCTCCAAGTGAGGTTCTTACCCTCATTACCTCTGCCCGCCCTACCACCTGTCATCTGGACCCTATCCCTTCAAACCTCCTTCAGACTATCGCTCCTGATATTCTACCGTTTCTCTCCCATTTCATCAACACTTCTCTAACTTCTGGTCACTTTCCAAACAGTCTCAAGGAGGCAAGAGTAAACCCTCTCCTAAAGAAACCCACTCTCAACCCGTCTGATGTTATAAACTACAGGCCTGTCTCTCTCCTCCCGTTCCTGTCTAAATCACTTGAACGCGCTGTCTTTAAACAACTCTCCTGTTATCTACATCAGAACAACCTTCTGGATCCGCACCAGTCTGGTTTCAAGGCAGGTCACTCCACAGAAACTGCTCTCATTGCTGTCACGGAGGAACTGCACACTGCCAAAACTGCATCCCTCTCCTCTGTCATCATCCTGTTGGACCTGTCTGCTGCATTCGACACGGTGAACCATCAGATCCTCCTTCGCACTCTCCAAAAACTTGGAGTTTCAGGCTCTGCACTTTCCCTCCTCACCTCATACCTGAAAGACCGTACCTACAGGGTGACTTGGAGAGGGTCTGAGTCCGACCCTTGTCAATTAACTACAGGGGTCCCTCAGGGCTCTGTTCTTGGTCCCCTCCTCTTCTCCTTGTACACAAACTCGCTCGGATCAGTCATTAGCCCGCATGGTTTTTCTTACCACTGCTACGCTGACGACACCCAATTAATTCTGTCCTTTCCCCGCTCAGAGACCCAGGTCGTCGCACGCATCTCTGCTTGTCTGGCTGACATCTCTCAGTGGATGTCTGCTCACCACCTCAAGCTCAACCTTGACAAGACTGAGCTGCTCTTCCTCCCGGGAAAAGATTGTCCAACTCTTGACCTGACAATCAACATCGGCACCTCAGTTGTTTCCCCGACTCAGACTGCAAGGAATCTGGGTGTGACCCTAGATAACAACCTGTCCTTCACTGCAAACATCGCTGCTACAACCCGCTGCTGCAGATACACGCTTTACAACATCAGGAAGATACGTCCCCAGCTGACTCAGAAAGCGACTCAGGTTCTGGTCCAGGCTCTCGTCATCTCACGCCTAGACTACTGCAACTCCCTCCTGGCTGGTCTACCTGCATGTGCCATCCGACCTCTGCAGCTGATCCAGAATGCAGCGGCTCGTCTGGTCTTCAACCTTCCTAAATGTCTCCCACACCACTCCGCTCCTCCGCTCCCTTCACTGGCTTCCGGTAACTGCTAGAATCCACTTCAAGACACTGGTACTTGCTTACCGTGCTGCGAATGGATCTGGCCCTTCCTACATCCAGGACATGGTTAAACCGTACACCCCAGCGCGTGCACTACGCTCTGCATCAGCCAAACGACTCGTTGCGCCCTCGCTGCGAGGGGGACCCAAGTTCCCATCGGCGAAAACACGTGGGTTTGCTATCCTGGCTCCAAGATGGTGGAATGAGCTCCCCATTGACATCAGGACGGCAGATAGCTTGCACATCTTCCGGCGCAAACTGAAAACTCATCTCTTTCGACTCCACTTCGAGCGTTAGAACTATTAACGAAGCACTTTTATACTAATAAAGGACTGGATTACCTAAAGCCAGTTGAGTAGCACTTGAAATGTTTGGCTCTATGAAACCTGATATACTTATATGATTCTGTTTTCTTCAAGGTTGTGTCTTCCTGGTCGAATGTACTTATTGTAAGTCGCTTTGGATAAAAGCGTCAGCTAAATGCAATGTAATGTAATGTAAAAATGTAATGTTTCTCGTGAGTGTTTCCCCGGGAAACAAACACCATACACACAAACGCCTCACAGATTATTTTGCGGTATTTGGCTGTTGAACTAAATCATGTACGCAGCTCGCGACGTCGCTAGGAGTCTAGTGGACGGTATCAGTACTACGAGTAAAACAAATAAAACTACTTAATTTTTTTATTAATTAGTTTGTTTATAAATGAATCTGAGGGCCGCAAACAGAGGAGGCCCATCCCTGGTCGAAGGCCTTTAGAAGTGGTGCAAAACCTCACAAGGATCTACTTTCTTGAATGTACTGTGGCTTCTTTGATGTGTAAAGTTTGCATTGTATCTGAAACTATCAATGACAGAAACAACAGTTTGAATAAAAAAATCATCACATAAAACACGTCCGAGTTTCTAAAGCTCTTCACCGTTTAGTGGAAGTGAAGAGATCGGTTTACCTTGAAGTTTGGGGAGAAGTTCCTGTTGGCCTTATCTTTGTTGGCCTTGTCTAGGTCGTTCTTGGTCAGCGTGAGAACCAGGAAGTCTCTGTCGTCTCCGCCCGTCATCATCATCGTCGCTGTCATCATCATCATCCCCTGCGTCCGGTCCGGCGCGGCGCTGCCGTTCTCCAGCTTCTCCCCAGGGGTCTCCTCCGGGCCCGGGATGAAGAAGGTGTTCACCCAGAAGTGGAACATCTTTTCCTGACCGGACGGGAACTCAAGTTATCAACAGGTTTACTCTGTAAAGTCTACTTCCTGTCTGTCCCTAAGATGGCGTACCCCAGACAACTCAAGACAACCAATGAAACCAAGACCCTAAGACTTCCTACCAAACAATCAGGAAGACTAACCGGTATTCAGAACAACTTCCACATGAAGACTTACTCAAGACAAGTAAGGGACTAAACCAAGAACACCCAAGACCTCTTAGAGCAGTGGTTCTCAAACTTTTTTCAATCATGTTCCCCCTTTGAAAAATAAATGCAGCCACGTACCCCCTGATCAGCGCAAAAAAAATTGTTAGGACAAAAAGCCTGTAAAGAGGTAGAGCGCAGCGCTGCACCATCAGAGTCTGAGTTATTAAAACAACAACTGAGAAACACTTCAATGCTACATTTCAAATGTTTACAATCCATCACTAAATTCATGGCAAACCAATTTTACCATCAAGCAACAACACAGAGACGACATGAGCTGCATTGAACTGATCTTCTTAATAAGTTGTTCTTAATGTAGTGAAACATGGGCTCGAGCTTCACTGAGAGCTTTGTCATTCTGACGGGGAGGCTACCTGCAGTTATTACACTTCACGTTTTGAAATATGTGAAACTCTGTTCATATAAAACCCACTCTGCTCAAACTTCCTTACTTTCCCTAAAATTAGTATATTTATTTGTTTATTTATTTATGTTGGGGCGTGGGGAACGAAGAGGAAAAGATATATGAGCATTTTATGAGCATGGGGTTTTGACCCCTCATATAAACATATGCATAATGCTGCGCTATACTTTGCGGCCACACGCCGTTGCCAAGCAACGCTTATTGTTTAGGTCTTTTGATAAGCAGGCAGTCAAATCATTAGCTAGAACTAGCTAGATCTGATAGATTTGGACATAAACGCGAGTGAAGTCTAACCGGACGTGAGAGAGAGATCAGATCAGCTGCTGCTGACGGAGAACACACAGAGCTGCATGATCACAGCTCCGCCGCTGTGACGGACCGGTGAGCGGAGCAAAATACACAAAGAGTTAGACCTAACACACTTAGCTAGTTGATCTGGAACTAGCTAAACTAGTTATACATATATGTATTCTTTACTGTCGGGTCACTCATTACAGGTTCAGCGAGCTGCAGGAGCCTGACGGGCTGTCAGGAGAGGGAGAGGAAAAGAGAGCCGTTTATTGTTCCCAGTTTATTATCCAGAGTTTAAACCTTTGAATAAAGTAGTTACTATTAGCAGTTGGTTTAAATGCATTACTTAAGTTGTTTTTTCATTAACATAAAATACATCTCACGTACCCCTGCAGTACTCCAACGTGCCCCTAGGGGTCCGCGTACCCCCATTTGAGAACCACTGTCTTAGAAGACTTAACTCTTACCTAATTTGAAGACACCAATTTGATTTTCCTAAGAACACTGACTCAAGATATCTCCAACATGCCCTACGGAAGATGACTCACCAGAGATGTTGTATCCAGGAAGACACATGAAGACTTACTCAAGACAAGGTAACTAAGACAATCACCTGTAAAACAGCTAACAAGAAGACCTACCCAATACCTCTAACCAAGGAAGACTTAACTCTTACCCGAATTGAAGACAATTGCCCCAAGAACACTGACTCAAGACAACGTTGCCAAGACACTCTACACAGGACTCACAGGTATTTAAGAGATCGTCTGCAATATTACCTACACACCAAATCTTACTCAAGGCAACGTAACCAAGACCGTTGTCTGTATCCTCAATTCCAGAAAACTTCCTTAGACTTCCTACCAAAGACCATATACCCAGGAAGACTTAACTGTACTAAAGATCATTACCCCAAAGTAATTTTCCTAAGAACACTGACTCAAGATATCTCCAACAAGACCTACGGAGGATGACTAACCAGAGATGTTGTACCCAGGAAGACTAACCGGTATTCAGGACAACTTCCACATGAAGACAAGTAAACTAAGACAATCACCCGTAAAACAGCTAACTACAGAACACTTCCTTAAGGTACTAAGCCAGGAAGACCTGCCCAAGACCTCTTAGAAGACTTAACTCTTACCTGAATTGAAGACAATTACCCCCAGGTGATTTTCCCAAGACAACGTTCACAGGACAGTCTACACAGGACTCACTGGTCTTTAAGAGCTCGTCTGCAAGATGACCTCCACACCAAATCTTAAGAAAGGCAAGGTAACAAAGACCATCATCTGTAAAACAACGAACTCCAGAAACCTTCCTTAGACTTCCTACCAAGGACCATAAACCCAGGTCTGTACTGGTAACTGTACTAACGACCATCGCCCCAAGATGAACACTGACTCAAGGTATCTCCAACTAGACCTACGGAAGATGACCAAAGATGTAGTACCCAAGAAGACTGACGGTATTCAAGACAAAATACTTAAAACGCCTTCCCTACGTCCCACTCATTCACCGTAATCTGACCAGACAACTACACCAAACCAATCAAAGACCAATATACCCTGGTAGACCTTCAAGACCACCTCAGAGAGATTACTTCCATAAGAGGAGCCAAGAAGTTTTACTTGAGACCAACGAAACCTTCACAATGTAGGTAAGAAAACATACACCAAACCACTCAATTAAGCAACTCAACCAAAGCTATACACAAGAGATGTTACTGTGTCCACAATAAAGACTGAATACTGGGACTGAGAGGTCTAATACTTGCTGTAGTTCAGGTTTAATCAGGAGTTACCATGAAGGACACATTTGAGGAATCAACATGTAGTAAAAACTCACATCCAGGATATAACACTTCTGTTGATGTAAAAAGTAAAAAGGAGTACTGAATGCCTCCTCTTCCTCACCTTCTTCATCATCTTGTTCTGCTTGTGGAAGAACTCCACCTTGATGTCTCCGCAGACAGGAAGTGGCTGAGGGAACTCAAACAGCATGAGCTTGTCTTCCCGCCGGGTGTTAGAGGGGTTGGAGGTGTGGATCTTCACCTTCAGCTGGTACACCACGAACTGAGGATCTGCAGCACAAACACTCGTTAGATCAGGGTCTCTTATCTCTGTGAGTCTACAAACACTCGTTAGATCGGGGTCTCTTATCTCTGTGAGTCTACAAACACTCGTTAGATCACACTCTCTTATCTCTGTGAGTCTACAAACACTCGTTAGATCGGGGTCTCTTATCTCTGTGAGTCTACAAACACTCGTTAGATCGGGGTCTCTTATCTCTGTGAGTCTACAAACACTCATTAGATCACACTCTCTTATCTCTGTGAGTCTACAAACACTCGTTAGATCGGGGTCTCTTATCTCTGTGAGTCTACAAACACTCGTTAGATCACACTCTCTTATCTCTGTGAGTCTACAAACACTCGTTAGATCAGGGTCTCTTATCTCTGTGAGTCCACAAACACTCGTTAGATCGGGGTCTCTTATCTCTGTGAGTCTACAAACACTCGTTAGATCGGGGTCTCTTATCTCTGTGAGTCTACAAACACTCGTTAGATCAGGGTCTCTTATCTCTGTGAGTCCACAAACACTCGTTAGATCAGGGTCTCTTATCTCTGTGAGTCTACAAACACTCGTTAGATCACACTCTCTTATCTCTGTGAGTCCACAAACACTCGTTAGATCAGGGTCTCTTATCTCTGTGAGTCTACAAACACTCGTTAGATCACACTCTCTTATCTCTGTGAGTCTACAAACACTCGTTAGATCACACTCTCTTATCTCTGTGAGTCTACAAACACTCGTTAGATCGTGGTCTCTTATCTCTGTGAGTCTAAAAACACTCGTTAGATCAGGGTCTCTTATCTCTGTGAGTCTACAAACACTCGTTAGATCAGGGTCTCTTATCTCTGTGAGCCTACAAACACTCGTTAGATCAGGGTCTCTTATCTCTGTGAGTCTACAAACACTCGTTAGATCAGGGTCTCTTATCCCTGTGAGTCTACAAACACTCGTTAGATCGGGGTCTCTTATCTCTGTGAGTCTACAAACACTCGTTAGATCAGGGTCTCTTATCCCTGTGAGTCTACAAACACTCGTTAGATCGGGGTCTCTTATCTCTGTGAGTCTACAAACACTCGTTAGATCAGGGTCTCTTATCTCTGTGAGTCCACAAACACTCGTTAGATCGGGGTCTCTTATCTCTGTGAGTCTACAAACACTCGTTAGATCACACTCTCTTATCTCTGTGAGCCTACAAACACTCGTTAGATCACACTCTCTTATCTCTGTGAGCCTACAAACACTCGTTAGATCAGGGTCTCTTATCTCTGTGAGCCTACAAACACTCGTTAGATCAGGGTCTCTTATCTCTGTGAGTCTACAAACACTCGTTAGATCACACTCTCTTATCTCTGTGAGCCTACAAACACTCGTTAGATCAGGGTCTCTTATCTCTGTGAGCCTACAAACACTCGTTAGATCAGGGTCTCTTATCTCTGTGAGTCTACAAACACTCGTTAGATCAGGGTCTCTTATCCCTGTGAGTCTACAAACACTCGTTAGATCGGGGTCTCTTATCTCTGTGAGTCTACAAACACTCGTTAGATCAGGGTCTCTTATCCCTGTGAGTCTACAAACACTCGTTAGATCGGGGTCTCTTATCTCTGTGAGTCTACAAACACTCGTTAGATCAGGGACTCTTATCTCTGTGAGTCCACAAACACTCGTTAGATCGGGGTCTCTTATCTCTGTGAGTCCACAAACACTCGTTAGATCGTGGTCTCTTATCTCTGTGAGTCTACAAACACTCGTTAGATCGGGGTCTCTTATCTCTGTGAATCCACAAACACTCGTTAGATCGGGGTCTCTTATCTCTGTGAGTCCACAAACACTCGTTAGATCGGGGTCTCTTATCTCTGTGAATCCACAAACACTCGTTAGATCAGGGTCTCTTATCTCTGTGAATCCACAAACACTCGTTAGATCAGGGTCTCTTATCTCTGTGAATCCACAAACACTTGTTAGATCAGGGTCTCTTATCTCTGTGAATCCACAAACACTCGTTAGATCAGGGTCTCTTATCTCTGTGAGTCCACAAACACTCGTTAGATCGGGGTCTCTTATCTCTGTGAATCCACAAACACTCGTTAGATCGGGGTCTCTTATCTCTGTTAGTCTACAAACACTCGTTAGATCAGGGTCTCTTATCTCTGTTAGTCTACAAACACTCGTTAGATCGGGGTCTCTTATCTCTGTGAGTCTACAAACACTCGTTAGATCAGGGTCTCTTATCTCTGTGAGTCTACAAACACTCGTTAGATCAGGGTCTCTTATCTCTGTGAGTCTACAAACACTCGTTAGATCAGGGTCTCTTATCTCTGTGAGTCTACAAACACTCGTTAGATCGGGGTCTCTTATCTCTGTGAGTCTACAAAACACCTCGTTAGATCGGGGTCTCTTATCTCTGTGAGTCCTACAAACACTCGTTAGATCAGGTCTCTTATCTCTGTGAGTCTACAAACACTCGTTAGATCAGGGTCTCTTATCTCTGTGAGTCCACAAACACTCGTTAGATCAGGGGTCTCTTATCTCTGTGAGTCTACAAACACTCGTTAGATCGGGTCTCTTATCTCTGTGAGTCTACAAACACTCGTTAGATCGGCGGTCTCTTATCTCTGTTGAGTCTACAAACACTCGTTAGATCACACTCCTCTTATCTCTGTGAGTCTACAAACACTCGTTAGATCAGGGTCTCTTATCTCTGTGAGTCTACAAACACTCGTTAGATCGGGGTCTCTTATCTCTGTGAGTCCACAAACACTCGTTAGATCAGGGTCTCTTATCTCTGTGAGTCTACAAACACTCGTTAGATCAGGGTCTCTTATCTCTGTGAGTCTACAAACACTCGTTAGATCAGGGTCTCTTATCTCTGTGAGCCTACAAACACTCGTTAGATCAGGGTCTCTTATCTCTGTGAGTCTACAAACACTCGTTAGATCGGGGTCTCTTATCCCTGTGAGTCTACAAACACTCGTTAGATCTATTGGGTCCACAAACCGTAGATCAGGGTCTATTACTCTGTGAGTCTACAAACACTCGTTAGATCAGGGTCCTCTTATCTCTGTGGAGTCCTACAAACACTCGTTAGATCAGGGTCTCTTATCTCTGTGAGTCTACAAACACTCGTTAGATCGGGGTCTCTTATCCCTGTATGTCTACAAACACTCGTTAGATCAGGGTCTCTTATCTCTGTGAGTCTACAAACACTCGTTAGATCGGGGTCTCTTATCCCTGTGAGTCTACAAACACTCGTTAGATTGGGGTCTCTTATCTCTGTGAGTCTACAAACACTCGTTAGATCAGGGTCTCTTATCTCTGTGAGTCCACAAACACTCGTTAGATCGGGGTCTCTTATCTCTGTGAGTCCACAAACACTCGTTAGATCGTGGTCTCTTATCTCTGTGAGTCCACAAACACTCGTTAGATCGGGGTCTCTTATCTCTGTGAATCCACAAACACTCGTTAGATCGGGGTCTCTTATCTCTGTGAGTCCACAAACACTCGTTAGATCGGGGTCTCTTATCTCTTTGAATCCACAAACACTCGTTAGATCAGGGTCTCTTATCTCTGTGAATCCACAAACACTCGTTAGATCGGGGTCTCTTATCTCTGTGAATCCACAAACACTCGTTAGATCAGGGTCTCTTATCTCTGTGAGTCCACAAACACTCGTTAGATCGGGGTCTCTTATCTCTGTGAATCCACAAACACTCGTTAGATCGGGGTCTCTTATCTCTGTGAGTCCACAAACACTCGTTAGATCGGGGTCTCTTATCTCTGTGAATCCACAAACACTCGTTAGATCAGGGTCTCTTATCTCTGTGAGTCTACAAACACTCGTTAGATCAGGGTCTCTTATCTCTGTGAATCCACAAACACTCGTTAGATCAGGGTCTCTTATCTCTGTGAATCCACAAACACTCGTTAGATCAGGGTCTCTTATCTCTGTGAGTCCACAAACACTCGTTAGATCGGGGTCTCTTATCTCTGTGAATCCACAAACACTCGTTAGATCGGGGTCTCTTATCTCTGTGAGTCTACAAACACTCGTTAGATCACACTCTCTTATCTCTGTGAGTCTACAAACACTCGTTAGATCGGGGTCTCTTATCTCTGTGAGTCTACAAACACTCGTTAGATCACACTCTCTTATCTCTGTGAGTCTACAAACACTCGTTAGATCAGGGTCTCTTATCTCTGTGAGTCCACAAACACTCGTTAGATCGGGGTCTCTTATCTCTGTGAGTCTACAAACACTCGTTAGATCGGGGTCTCTTATCTCTGTGAGTCTACAAACACTCGTTAGATCACACTCTCTTATCTCTGTGAGCCTACAAACACTCGTTAGATCAGGGTCTCTTATCTCTGTGAGTCTACAAACACTCGTTAGATCAGGGTCTCTTATCCCTGTGAGTCTACAAACACTCGTTAGATCGGGGTCTCTTATCTCTGTGAGTCTACAAACACTCGTTAGATCAGGGTCTCTTATCTCTGTGAGTCCACAAACACTCGTTAGATCGGGGTCTCTTATCTCTGTGAGTCCACAAACACTCGTTAGATCGGGGTCTCTTATCTCTGTGAGTCCACAAACACTCGTTAGATCGGGGTCTCTTATCTCTTTGAATCCACAAACACTCGTTAGATCAGGGTCTCTTATCTCTGTGAATCCACAAACACTCGTTAGATCGGGGTCTCTTATCTCTGTGAATCCACAAACACTCGTTAGATCAGGGTCTCTTATCTCTGTGAGTCCACAAACACTCGTTAGATCGGGGTCTCTTATCTCTGTGAATCCACAAACACTCGTTAGATCGGGGTCTCTTACACACACTCACAAAGATCTACTTTCTTGAATGTACTGTGGCTCCTCTGAGGGGTGAATGTGTGGGGGTGGACTCACTGCAGGTTCCCCCGGTGAACATGGGGATGGTTTCAAACAGCATCTTGTGGAAGAGCAGAGCTACGGGTCTGTAGAGCAGCTGGTTCCTCAGCAGGAAGCTGTAGTAGATAACGTAGCGCCGCTGACTGGGGATCGTCACGCCCTGAACACACAGGAAGGGTTGGAGCTTATCAGCATAAAGGATTACAAAGCAAGGGGGGCTTTCTGCTTTTATCTCAGACATCTGCAGCTCTGTCCCCCCCCAGTTCAGAAACCATCTTAGATTCCCAGTCCTTCCCATACCTTCCTGTCTCTTATCTTCTCTCATACCTTCTTGTCTCTTATCTTCTCTCATACCTTCTTGTCTCGGGTGCGCACCTCCCCGTAGAAGTCGAGTGCCTCCTGTGCCTCGCTGAACTTCCCTCGGTGCAGCAGGTAGGCGCAGATCATGACCCCGGTGCGACCCTTTCCGGCCTTGCAGTGGATGGCGGCGACGTGCTGCTCGTCCTCGCTCAGCCACTGGTCCAGGTCTTCGCAGAAGGGCCTGATCAGCTCCAGCTGGGGCGGGTTGTGGTCCTCGAACGGGTACTGGGCCACTGGAACATTCAGATTCATAGCAAAACATTCAGATTAAAGCCAGCGGGACATACAGAGACTTTAGAGGAAGAACCACAACTGTTTGGGCTTCATGACGTAGAGCCGGGATGTCCAAACATT